CTGTGGAGTTTGAAGACCTGTTTGAGGTGAATGTTGGAGCTGACAACTGCAATTAGGTTATCACCCACTAGTGTAGCTGCCAGTATTTTTGTTTTCTAATTTGTACTGCTGTTGTTTGTCTACTGCACTGTGGGTTGTATATAGAATTATGACTGTGTAAAATCAGCATACCCATGTGATGCTGATAAAGTAGAACTATATCTTTGGTCGGATCATCTTTTTCAGTCTTATCTTCTTGTTAAGTCTTATCTTAGAAATTTTTTATCCCATTAGTGGTTCTCACCCTGCCTAATACCGTAACCCCTTAATACAGTTCCTCATGTTGTGTTGATCTCCAACCATAAAATTATTTTTATTGTTACTTCATAACTGTAATATTGCTACTGTTATGAATTGTAATGTAAATATCTGATATTCAGGATGTACTTTCATTCACTGGAACAAACTTGGCACAAATACCCAATACACCAGAATTTGAATACTGGTGGAGTTGGGGTGGGGGGATTGATTTTGTCATTGGGAGTTGTAGTTGCTGGGATTTATAGTTCACCAACAATCAAAGAGCATTCTGAACTCCACCAAAGATGGAATTGAACCAAACTTAGCACATAGAACTTCTATGACCAACAGAAAATACTGGAAGGGTTTGGTGGCCATTGACCTTGAGTTTTGGAGTTATAGTTCGCCTACATCCAGAGATCGCTGTGGACTCAACCAATGATAGATCTGGACCAAACGTGGCACGAATACTCAATATGCCCAAATATGAACATTGGTGGAATTTGCAGAAAATAAATCTTGTCACTTGGGAGTTGTAGTTGCTGGGAGTTATGGTTCACCTACAATCAAAGAGCATTCTGAACCCCACCAACAATAGAATTGGGTCAAACTTCCCACACAGAACCACCATGCTGGCTCAAGCCTCCCTTCACCCTCACATGTTCTCCCTCACCTACACATGTGCACCATGCTGCCATGTGCCAAGTCAAAATTCCCCCACAAGGCCAGTTATTATTATGCTATTCAAACTGAAATGACTGCTTTAACCTGTTGCCTTAGACCAGTGCTGCTTTTTCCATGTGTGACCTTTTCCCACCCAGGAGATCTTGAGATCAAAACCACAGTACCTGATATATTGTGTAAATATAGTCATTCCCATGGGTTTGTGTCAGTCTCAAGCCATTAAATTGCAGAACTACCTCCTGTTCAAGGAGCTCCACTGGCTGCCATTTATTTTCCGAGCCCAATTTAAGGTGCAGGTGCTTACCTACAAAGCCCTGAACGGTTTGGGACCATCCTACCTGCGTGACCGCATCTCCGTTTATGAACCCCCGCGCTCCCTTCGTTCATCCGGAGAGGCCCTGCTCGCGATCCCACCTGTGTTGTAGGCGCGTTTGGTGGGGACGAGGGACAGGGCTTTCTCTGTGGTTGCCCCCCGACTCTGGAACACCCTTCCCAAAGACATTAGACTAGCACCCACGTTGGCAGTCTTTAGGAAGAACTTTAAGACCTGGCTATTCTGATGTGCCTTTCCGGATTAGGATAACCTCCAGCACTATGTCCCAGAAGCACTTTATTAGAGTTTAAGACACTCTGCACATTGCACTTGCCCAGAAATCCAACATACCACCTGCCAAAGGTGCAGGTGCTTACCTACAAAGCCCTGAACGGTTTGGGACCATCCTACCTGCATGACCGCATCTCCGTCTACGAACCCACGCGTTCACTTCGGTCATCTGGAGAGGCCCTGCTCGTGATCCCGCCTGCGTCGCAAGCGCGTTTGGTGGGGACACGAGACAGGGCCTTTTCTGTGGTGGCCCCCTGACTCTGGAACACCCTCCCCAAAGATCTTAGACAGGCCCCTACATTGGCAGTCTTCAGAAAGAACTTGAAGACCTGGCTGTTCCGATGTGCCTTCCCAGATTAGGAAATCTCCAATACCAAGTCCCAGAAGCACTTTATTAGAACTAAGATTGCTGCACACCGCACACTGCACTTGCCCTATAAGCCTTATATACCACCTGTCACATCAGCACTTTTAATCCTGTACCCATTACTCTGGCCCAGGCCCAGTTTCATTGTGTCTTAGTGTATTGTTTATTGCTTGTTGTTATATTGCTTCAATTGTTTTTAATTTGCCTTGGGTTTTGTATTGTTATGTTGTGTGTTGAGGCCTTGGCCTTTGTAAGCCGCATCGAGTCCTTCGGGAGATGCTAGCGGGGTACAAATAAAGTTTAATAATAAATAAATAAAATAATATTCCGGCATATAAAACGAGTGGGCGTATATGACAACCCTGGACTTTTCCAGTTAAAATATAGAGTTTGGGATATATTTGCCACATAAGACTACCTCTCTTCCAACGCACACCATTTTTTTAAAAAAGCATCAGATTTGATTTCAATATGGCAATTTTCCTATTACTGTACCTCCTTCTCTGCCTCTCAGATCTCGCACATGTGCACCTGCACCGCTTCACTGCAGTCTTCAAGAGTGAGATCTGAGAGGCAGAGGAGGAGATCAGACAGGTAAAAGAGGTGTGTTTGTCTGGGCCCAGAGCCACTATCTCTTTTTTTTCCATAGGCAGCTTCCTCTGCCTACAGCTTCCTCTGCCCTTCACCTACACCTTCCTGGTGAGGTACCCCTTCACCTCACCATCGGGACCGCATTAAGTCAAAGAATCCTGATGAATGGATTTTCTTCTACCGTACTTGTGCAGCGTCGCCCTTAATAGGACATGGCCATTGCCATTTTTGAGCTCCCCCCACCATATGCGGCAATCACATATTCTCCAATCTGATTGGAAGTTTCAGCACCCGCTTTATAAGACTACTCCCATGTATAAGACTACTCCAGTGTATAAGACTACTCCAGTGTATAAGACTACTCCCGTGTATAAGACAACCCTGCGTATAAGATGACACCTGACTTTTGAGAAGATTTTCTTGAATTAAAAAGTAGTCTTATATACCAGAATATATGGTAGTTAAATTCCTACTGATTAAAGAATGTGTTTCCCAGTTTCAGCATTGCCTGCTGGCAGGCAAAGTCCTTTGGACTGGTGCCTTCTTGTTGTGTTCAAAAGCAGAATGCTTTTGAGGCAGAGGTGTTAAAATATGTTGCTTTAGTTTTACAACTGTCAACTATGATGTTTTATTTAGCCATTTCGATCTAGAAGCTCCCTCTGCAACATGAAGTACCATATGCCATTGTCCTTGCTATCTCGCAAAGCCAGCAAGCAAAGGCTAAGCCCCCTCTTGCTTATGAGCTTGGGCCACCAAGAAGCTGTGGTCCAGTGCTATCTTTTATTGATAGGGCCAGCCGAGGATGACTCTAATGAAATTATCAAAGCTTTGAATTAATTATGAACTTGAATAAGAAAGCTAAGCTCTCTGGAGCCAAGCTTCTCATTAGGCATTCATTTTCGTCGCATTCTCTTTATAGAGCAGAAGGCAAGTTCTGCTGCAGCTGAGCCTGTGTTTTGGATTTGGTTCAAACTTGCCAAGTTCTTTTCTATGGCTAGAAGATGTCCTTGGTAATTAATTTGATTTCTGCCTTCATATACTCTTCATGAACATGGCAGTTTCCTTCCCCAATGCCATCTCACGTTCTCCCTTTTCTCTACTTGTGGTTAGTATCTTTGGAGTAGATGCCATCCAAGAGTTTCTTGTTTTTTTATAGTGAAGGGGAAGACTTTACAAGATGTAAACATTGCATTTCACATGGAATTTGATTGATTAATACTTGTTCCTATCATTATTTCTCGGATGTTTAGGTAAGCAAAATAATTCCTTCTCAACCAGTTCAAAGTTAATTATATTTTGTATCACTCGTTGGGTGTGTTTTGTTGTCTTAGGTTTCTCTTTTTCATTTTGGGTTTGTATTGTATTCAATGTAAAACGTATTCCAAAGTACATTGTTTGAAGCATAACTTAGGTAAAATATGGTTTGATTCAGCTAAAATAGTGCAAAAGGGTAAGAAGTAGTTGTTGCATTTCATTGAATTGTTGCAATTCCCCTTTAAAAGGGCTTTTAAAGGGGAATTGCAATAATTGTACTTTCTCCACCAGTCCCTGTCTGGAAACTATATTGCAAAGGCTCCTAACCTCCGAGTTCAGTATTTATTACTTCTAAGGCTATTGGTTGTTTTATAATGTTGTCTTATGTTATTATGATGTTGTTTATTTTATTGCATTGTGTTTTTAATCCATGTCTGTTCGGGCTTGTCCCCATGTAAGTCGCCCTGAGTCCCTTTCAGGAGATGGGGCGGGGTACAAAAATAAAGTCGTTCTTGTTGTTGTTGTTGTCGTTGGCTTTCATGGCTGGAATCACTGTGTTGTTATAGGTTTTTTGGGCTATATGGCCATATTCTAGAAGCATTCTCTCCTGACGTTTCGCCTGCATCTATGGCAAGCATCCTCAGAAGTTGTGAGGTCAGGAGAGAATGCTTCTAGAACATGATCATATAGCCCGAAAAACCTACAGCAACCCAATTATTGTTATTATTATGCTTTTTACAGGGTTTTTATAATGTGTGTTAAATGTTTTAAATTTGTTTTAATTTTGTTTATGTTCATTGTGGCATTGAATTGTGCCAGTGTTAGCCATCTTGAGTCGCCTTCGGGCTGAGAAATGTGACATAGAGATGCAGTAAATAATAATAATAATAATAATAATAATAATAATAATAATAATAATATAATTACTTTTGAGTTCACTTCTATAGTAAACCTGCCCTTGAGTTCAGATCTGCTCTGCTTGTTTTATTTTTATACACAGTTTCAAAATCATGACTTGTACTGGTATATAATTCTTCTTTTTTAAAGAACTTTTTTGTTTAAATATTTGGAATCTGAAACATGTCTCACCAGAGGCTGCTTGCAACCGTTTTAAGAAGTGCTGATAAGTCCTTAAAAATTTGCATGAATAGACACGACGTTTTCTCCCTGTAAAATAGCAAGGATGGTTTTGATATATTTTTTGTTCTTTTATATTTCTAGGCAGCTGCTATATTTAACTCTGCATTTGGAAGCTTTCTGGTAAGTTATATTCTTTATTTCCCCGCATGCTGTTTTAATAACGTTGTTGTTTAATACCTTTATTGCTACTAATGATTGATTTAAAGGGGAACCTGACAAGTCTTTTTAATGTATTCTGCTGCTCATTTAAATGCCCAAGCCAGTATTTCTTTTCACTGTCTCTTCCTCTGCAGAAAATTAGTGCATGAATAATCTCTGATCAATATGATTTAATGATGTTTAAGTACATGTTAATAGTCTCCTTAATGAGAAGACAATCCATTATTATTCAGATGTTTTGGAAGGTAGTGTCAATAAATTGATTTTCTAATGAGACTTATCACATAATCATTATTTTCTATCAAGGGGCCATGGTTTTTGAAAGGAAAACATGGCCCAGATGATGAGAGGCAATGCTAATTCACCCGGTGACAGTAACACAATTAGCATATTTCTCTGCCAGAGAAAAAGCTTGTTCCCTGTCCCCAGGGAGAGCTATTGGAAGGAGTAAAAGTACGCAGAGAGGCAAAACCTTTCAAAGTGTAATTTCTGTGTGTATGTTCTAGGGCTGCACTTCTAAGCACAATATTCTTTTTGAAAATTTAAATCTTTTTACATTGTTGTAATTGTTTCATGTCTTATTGTAAGCCAGCCTCTCTGACCTATTTGGATAAAAGTTGGGATGTAAATACTTCAACAAATAAACAGTACTCTATACAACCTACAAAAAAGAGAAACACTCTTGGCAGTCCCTTCCCTCCTTTTTATGTATTAAAATATGAGGTGTTGATGAAAAATTAAATTGGTAGCAAGTACATATAATAAGGAACACTGTTTTTATACCTTGTGAATCATTACCAGTATATTAAATATACAAAACATTGCAAGGAATGTGAAATGGAATGGATGTATGGAGATAGACTTGAATGAGATAGGGGGCAGGCTTCGCACAGCAGGCTAAGCCGCTGTGCTTCAGAAAAACCCTGCAGATTGAAAGGTCAGCAGTTGAAGCCCGGGTCGGGGTGACCCCCTTCTGTTAGCCCCAGCTCACCTGCCCACCTAGCAGGTCGAAAGCAAAAATGCAAGTAAATAAAATAGGTACCACTTTTAGTAGGGAGATAATAAAGGCACCTTTAAGGACATTGATCGGAGGAAAAACTCCTCAGCATGGAAGATGTAGTGACAGCACAGCCCATGGCCAGAATTGAGCACAGCCTCCAAGATGCCGAAAACAACATGGGAAAAACTGCCTTTACCTCTGTTTGTGTTGTTTGTCCTTGATAATTGTATAATTGACATTGAATGTTTGCTGTGTGTGTGTGTTCTGTAAAGCCACTTTGGAGTGAGAAGGATGGGTGTAATTTTCATTTTAATAGCTTGTGCATAATTTGGATTTTTCTTAAAAAAAACTTTTCATTTTGGCACTTGAGTGAAACATAGATGTAGGGTTTTAAGTCTCTGGTTTTTTTTTTTGGTTTTTTTTTTTTTTGCCGTGTCAGAAGCGACCTGAGAAATTGCAAGTTGCTTCTGGTGTGAGAGAATTGGCCATCTGCAAGGACGTTGCCCAGGGGATGCCCGGATGATTTGATGTTTTATCATCCTTGTGGGAAGCTTCTCTCATGTCTCTACATGAGGAGCAATCCATTTCAAAGGTGCATTTTGAAGCAGGGTTCAACAGTACCTGCTTAGACTTAAAACCCTACATCTATGTTTCATTAGAACTGTGTGTGTGTTTGTGTGAGCCTTCAATGGCTAAGCCGTATTGAATCAAGAGCTGGTTCTATGGCAAATACTGGAAATAGTTCCTAATCATTGATCATGCTGGTGCGTCTGATGGGAATTCAAATCGATAACTCATAGGGGACACCAGTTTCAAGAAGCCTATCCTACTGTAGCCTTAGTATTTTTTCAGATTTTGGGAATTTGGGACTGAATTTTCCAACAGATTGTGTTGCCTAATAACTTTCAGAGGTGTTTGTTTGTTCATTAAGGCATAGCACATACACAAACTCTCTCTCTCTCTCTCTCTCTCTGTGTGTGTGCACATGTTTTTCTGGAACTATGATGCCCTCCATACATTCAACTGCATTGGTGCCTTGTTATGTTTGGATGGCAAAGTCTAATTTTCTAGTAGGTGTTCACTGGTTCACTGGGATGAGTTGAATGTTTGGCAGCATGAGTGAGAAACCTTTGGCCTGCTACATGTGATTGATGTTAGTATCCACCAACATAATTTGTGATCAGGGATGATTGTAGTTTTAGTCCAACAACATCTAGAGGGCCCATAATTGTATGACTGCTAGAGATATTTTTTTCTAAACGCTTTAAAAACAGCCTAACTTGAGAACAGAATGGTATATTTAGCTGGTGAAATATAGACTTTTTCCAAGCAAATTGCTGTGGTTCTATGGGAGTCCTGGGAATATGAATGTGGGTTAGCCTAGATAAGGATATGCAGCCTCTTGGTTTTCAAACATATTAGCATTTGATAGACTGCATTCTCAAGCAAGAATTGGATGTGTGGATTTAAAATGGAAACTCAAACCTCAATCCCGTTTTAGCGTGGAAATTCCTGTAGAACTGTAGGCGGAAATATGTGTATATTTATAACGAATGTAATAACATCATAGTTCTAATTAAAACATAGCATTTTAAAGAACTAATTGTTACAGAAAACTTTTTTTTCCTGTAGCTAGCCTGGTAATAACTAATGATAGATGAATTCAATTTACATAAATTTCAGACCAAGAGAATGTTTTAGAATTATACCACAGAGAATTGCTCTAAGTTAAGAAGTTAATATAATTATCTCCTCCCCTCATTTAAAAGTTGGGTTTAGAATAATTGTGGAACATAAATGATTTGAGTTTTTCCCCATGACAGTGACTTAATAAAATGTGATAGCATTTTAGTAATTCAAAGCCGTTGGGTCTCTGAAATAATGGTGGCTCTATAACAGCAGTCCTTTGCATATTTGCTTGAGAATAAGTCAAGTGAACACAGTGGGACTTCCCACTAAGTAAACATCTATGGATTCAGCTTAAATAGCAGGCAGCTCTATTTATACTGGTTTCATCCAAGTGAAATTCCAATAATGCTTTCTGTGCTGGTCTTTCTTTAGAAGATAGCTGAGAACCCTCAGCTGGTGCAAAATTCAGCTGCCAAAATGCTGTTAAGGGTTCCCCTTTAAAGCTAATATAGAAATGTATTGTCAAAGGCTTTCATGGCCGGAATCACTGGGTTGTTGTGGGTTTTTTCGGTCTGTATGGCCATGTTCTAGAGGCATTCTCTCCTGTCCTAAGAGAGAATGCCTCTAGAACATGGCCATATAGCCCGAAAAAACCTACAACAACCTAATATAGAAATAATGTCCTTCTCTTCCTTGTCGTTTTCTCTGCTTTGGAGACTAGGGCATTGAGTAATGGGTTCAAATTCCAGGAAAAGAGATTCCACCTAAACAATAAGAAGAACTTCCTGACATCAGTGCAATATGCTGCCTCGGAGTCTCCAGCTCTGGAGATTTTTAAGCACCGGGACTGTGGCGCAGTTGTCTGAGTGTCAATTGCATTAAGATCACTTCTGACCACAAGGTCATGAGTTCGAAGCCAGCCCGGGTCGGAGTGGGCTTCCGACCAATTGTGTAGCTTGTTGTTGACCTTTGCAACCCGAAAGACAGTTGCATCTGTCAAGTAGGAAAATTAGGTACCACCTATATGCGGGGAGGCTAATTTAACAAAATTTATGAGGCCATAAAAAAGACTCCAGCAAAGCACTCCAGCAAAAGCATGCGGGGAATTTGGTAGTACTTCATCAGTGTCGCAGATGGACGATGAAAGTGACAGCTCCACTGGCGGCCAGAAAAAGTTAAATAGCCTCTGACTGTTTGTCTATATCTGTTGTGTCTTTAGCATTGAATGTTTGCCATATATATGTACATTGTAATCTGCCCTGAGTCCCCTGCGGGGTGAGAAGGGCGGAATATAAATACTGTAAATAAATAAATAAATAAATAAAGGCTGGATGGCCATCTGTCAGGGTTGCTTTGATTGTGTTTTCCTGCTTGGCAGGGGGTTGGACTGGATGGCTCTTGTGGTCTCTTCCAACTCTGTGATTCTTTGATTCTACATCCAGGGGTCTCCCTGGTGTCGCCATTTCTATATTCTCTGTGCAGAGAGATGCACACAGCTCAGTTTCTATTTCTTTGCACAGCTCCTGCTGAGGCATTGGATGGCATAGTGTGTGTGTGTGTGTGTGTGTGTGTGTGTGTAAAGGGACTACCTCCCCCCGCTGATTCACTCACCTTTTCAGCTTTTCTTTCTTTTGGAAAGAAAGAAGACTGTGTTTGCACAACCAGTGTTTGTATTTTAGGCTGGGCCCAGTGTCTCCAAACAGGAAAGGCTCCATCTTCCAAGAAGACTTGAATCATTGCCCCTCCAGGGAAGCCATATGTTTGATGAGAGCAAAGGTTGCTGCCTTTCATCCTCTAGGCTAGATGTTGAGATAATTGCACATTTTACTTTTCTTTTTAACGATACATAAAATTAGCTCCTTATTCCAAATGCCCTTTTAATAAAAGCATATAGAATTCTTATCTATCCCGTTTTGGTGGGCGTAGTGCTTTATACAGCCTGACAGGACTTGTGTAAATGGATTAGGCGCAGTGTCCATTTTTCTTGCAAATTTGTGACATAAATTTAATTATGGGAATGACCAACAACTTACAAATCTAATTTTCATAGGCTGAGCCAACTTCTTTATTTTTTAATAATGATGGATTTTTTAAAGCAAAGATTTCATTATTCTTTAAAGAAATTCCATGGTGTGGAACTAACCAATTGACTAGCTTATTTTATTATATTGTGCCAAATGCTGTTCTTGCTTTTTTCCCGTTAATTGGTCTGTGTTTAAAATATCTCATATAGAAAGCTAAAGAGGAAGAAAGTTCCTGCTTATGTATTTATTTCCCCATTTGTAACGTCATATACTTTTAGAAAAGGAAAAGGACAGATGTATGGAAGATA